GCCTCTGGAACATTTATTGACTGGAGCATCTGTAGATCTTAATACCTCTATAGCTTTAGTCAACAAGTATTGTTCGAAATTGCCAAGTGATACTTTTACGAAACTTACAGCACTTTGGCGTTGCACTAAAACGATTCGATCTGGAGTCGAAGTATATCAATACACGATACGTCTTCCCATAAACTCACCATTAAAATACGATATAGTGGTATGTTTTAATTCATTAATTTAATCTAAACAATTTAAACATTTGTTATTGTTTTATGCTTTAAGGGACTTCCAATGTCTTCGAATATATTGGCCCGTAGAATGGCCGCTTTACAGACCTGTATAGAGCTTCACAAAATTGGGGAATTGGATGAAAACTTGCAGCCAATAGGAAAAGAAAGCTTCCGAGCAATGGAGTCTGACTGGGAAAACTTTGAGCTAGAAGAGGAAGATGAAAAGATAGTACATGATAATTCTGAACCGCGACCGGGAACAACGAAACGGAGACAGTATTACTACAAACGTGTAAGTAATTTAAATTATTTTCAATACTTATTAGAGAACAAAAAATTAGACTTAATATAATAATATATAATTTTAATGAATAGTTTTCTTTACTATAGATTGCCTCCGAGTTCAGCGACTGTCGTCCAACTGTAGGTGTACCATGCTACTTGTATTTTATTGATTTGACACTGCAATGTCCAATTCCGGAGGAACAAAATACACGTGGTCGGAAAATATACCCACCCGAAGATGCGCAGCAAGGCTTTGGTATTCTAACCCTAAAACGTATACCAAAAGTCAGTTCATTTCCTATATTTACGCGTTCCGGCGAAGTAAAAGTATCTATTGTTCTTTCAAAAGAGATGATTGTACTCACAGAAATCCAGATACGTTGCATTAATACATTCCTCAACTACACATTTACAAATGTATTGCGCCTTCAGAAGTTCCTTATGCTCTTTGATCCAGATTCTACCGAAAATTGTGTTTTCATTGTACCTACGATAAAAAGTAACAGTAGAAAGGTAATCGACTGGGATTTCCTTGAGTTAATTGAAAGAAAATCAAGTATGATGCCTTCCCCCATCATGGATGATTTACGTAAATCTATTGAATTCGATGCAAATAAGTTCAAAGATGCCGTTGTTATGCCCTGGTATCGCAATCAGGATCAGCCGCAGTACTTTTACGTGGCAGAGATTTGTCCACAGCTCTCACCTTTAAGTTGTTTTCCTGGGGAAAACTACCACACGTTTAAGCATTACTATTTTCTGAAATATGGTTTAACAATTCAAAATGTTAAACAGCCATTATTAGATGTAGACCATACCAGCGCGCGTTTAAATTTTTTAACACCTCGTTATGTCAATCGAAAAGGCGTTGCCCTGCCTACTAGTTCCGAAGAAACTAAACGTGCCAAACGTGAGAACTTGGAACAGAAACAAATTCTTGTGCCAGAACTGTGCACTGTGCATCCATTTCCTGCTTCATTATGGCGAACTGCTGTCTGCTTACCTTGCATTCTATATCGTATAAACGGGTTATTACTGGCTGATGATATACGAAAAAAGGTGTCACTGGACATAGGATTGGGTTTACAGGAAATTCCCGATAATTTTGAATGGCCTATGCTGGACTTTGGCTGGAGTTTGTCGGAGGTTTTAAAGAGATCAAAAGAAAATCAGAATGTTCCGTTATTAGATAAGAAAAAAGAAGAAAGTAACAATAAAGAAACAACGAACAAACAAAGCAACGCATTCGTGAAAGGCAACGGAGTTGGTGACGAATTAGATAACAATTATGAAAGCAACCATTCCAAAATGAAAAGTGCAAATGAAATCATTATAGAAGGTGAAAAAAAATTGAAGGTATCTAAAAAATGGAAGTCGGATATTTATTTGTTGATGTTTACTAAATTTGTTTTTTTTTTTTTCAGGATAGTAGTTTTATAGAAATAGGCACTTGGTCCAATGATATGGCTGAAAATATGAATTGCAGTAAAAACTCTGAGTCAATGGATGAAGATGAGGAAGAATGTTTTAAATATTTTCCACCGAATGTTAGTTTTTGTAGGTTAAAAGTTGCTATAGTTAACCAGAATTATAATTTATTTTATTTATATTTATATAGGTGACCAACAAATGCGCTACGGTTCCCCCACTTTCTGGGATGTGAAAGAATCAAACCTTGTCAAAAAAGCAAATGGTGTTCTAAACCCGAATAGTGATACAAATAACACTCTAAAGAATTCGTTCACATTCTATGATTCGGATGACTCGTTTGCTTCCAGTTACGATGACAATGAACTTAATAACTATGGTGACGATGACTATGAAGGCTACGGTGCTTCACGTATTGCATTCACTTCAAGGAATGAAGCTGAAACAATTGAAACAGCACAAGAGATCGAAAAGCGCAATAAACAAATATCAATAATTCAAGCAACTAATGCGAATGAGCGTGATTATCAAAAGACGAAAAACTTGCTTGTGGGATACAATTTTGTGGACTTGAAACCTAGCATGGAAGCAGAATTGAATCACTCTATCGCCCAATATATCACATCTACACAACAATTGAAAAATAGCATTAAACAGTCTAGTATGCTCGTAAAATACGATCAGCCAGTGGTGCTGAAGCTTAAGGATTCGATAAACATCACCTCAAATAATACCAATGAGCCGCCTTCTATAGATGTGTTTTGTAAACTATTGCCTTATGCTGACAAAAACTTGTTAATTACTATCTTAAGAGAGAATGGTAACGTGTTGAACGTATCAGATATTGCCCGGTTAAATGCTGAGTATTTAAAATCTCACACTTATGAGCTATTCGAAATTCAAGGTTGTGGTGATGTTTTTGACAATTTCAATGATAAGGATAAGTTGAAGTTAAAAAAATCTGGTCATGAATGCAAAAAAATGATAACATTAAAATTTGAGAGGAAAGAATGCTCCTCCAATATAACTAATACGATCTCTCCTGTAACTGATAATAACACGAAGAATCAATGTAATAATTTTAGCTTCGACTATCAACCAGATCTGGTTGGACATCCAGGTCCAAGCCCAAGTATTATTTTGCAAGCTTTAACTATGTCGAATGCGAATGACGGCATTAATTTAGAACGTCTTGAAACTATTGGCGACTCATTTCTTAAGTACGCCATTACCACTTATTTGTATATAACATACGAAAATGTTCATGAAGGCAAACTAAGCCATTTGCGCTCAAAGCAAGTAGCCAACTTGAATTTGTATAGATTGGGAAGACGAAAAAAACTGGGCGAATATATGATAGCTACAAAATTTGAACCTCATGACAATTGGTTACCACCGTGTTACTATGTACCTAAAGAGCTGGAAAAGGCACTTATCGAGGCAAAAGTCTGTTAAAATACCAAGCTTTGCAAATAATTATAGTAAGTAATAAATTGTTTACATATTTTTTAGATTCCCCCGCATCACTGGAAGCTGGTCGATTTAGCGAATATTAAAAAATTAACCAGCGCAGAGATATGCGCATTAGTGCGAGAAAAAGCTGACAAATTGGGACTTATTGCTGATGTAAGTAAAAATTCCAACGAGATTAACGTCACTCTTGATGAAAGTGGTGAAGGAAATGACTTTACTTGTTTCATTCCGTATAACCTAGTAACACAACATAGCATACCAGGTGAGACAGTGGATGAAATTTGTTTTAATAACAATAAACTTGAACATTAATTTAGATAAATCTGTAGCCGATTGTGTCGAGGCGTTAATCGGGGCCTATTTAATTGAATGCGGGCCACGTGGAGCCCTTCTGCTTATGGCATGGTTGGGAATACGAGTGCTTCCATTTGTACGTAGACCGTTTAATCAACAGGAGTCTCGCCAGCCCGGTAGTACAAATTCGGATGAGAATGACAACATAATAGTGTATGGAAATTGGGTAGCTCCGAAAAGTCCGCTTCTGGTTTATTCTCCTAATGCCACTCAGGAATTGGAATATATGCTTGAAGGCTTTGATGAATTTGAGGCCACATTAGGTTATAGGTTTCGCGATCGCTCTTACCTATTACAAGCTATGACTCATGCTAGTTATTCGCCAAATCGTTTGACAGATTGTTACCAGCGGTTAGAATTCTTGGGAGATGCAGTTCTAGATTATTTAATTACTCGCCACCTATATGAAGATCCCAGGCAACACTCACCTGGTGCCTTGACGGACTTACGATCAGCTTTAGTAAATAATACTATATTTGCTTCTTTGGCCGTTCGACATGGTTTTCACAAATATTTTCGCCATTTGTCTCCAGGTCTAAACGAGGTTATCGATCGTTTTGTGCGTATTCAAAACGAAAATGGACACAGTATAAGTGAAGAAGTAAAACGAATTTGTCCATAGTTTATAGTTAGTTATAATATTAATTAATATTCCATAATTGTTTATAGTATTACCTACTTTCGGAAGAAGAGTGTGATGATGCTGAAGATGTTGAAGTCCCAAAAGCTTTAGGTGATGTATTTGAGTCAATTGCTGGCGCTATTTTTCTGGATTCCAATATGTCGTTAGACGTTGTATGGCAGGTGTATAGCAATATGATGAGACCGGAGATTGAACAATTTAGTAACTCGGTTCCGAAATCGCCCATTCGTGAGTTGCTAGAGTTGGAACCAGAAACAGCTAAATTTGGGTAATTACCAACTATGCCTTAAGACTTTGAAAAATTTATATTTATTCTTTTTTGTTAGAAAACCGGAGAAACTGGCTGATGGGCGTCGTGTGCGTGTTACTGTTGATGTATTCTGCAAGGGAACTTTTCGTGGCATTGGTCGCAACTATCGTATAGCGAAGTGCACCGCTGCGAAATGTGCATTGCGTCAATTGAAGAAACAGGGCTTAATAACGAAGAAGGATTAAATCTTAAATATATCACCAAAAAATTTATTACTTATTTACGTACCACTACTACCTATTTTAATTAGTCTGATTTCATGTATGAATGAATATAAACAAGCAAATAAAGTTTTTTTTTTACCAATATGCTTTTTTTTTACACCAGTTTCAAAATTATTATTTTTTAATAAAAAGTTATCCTGTTAAAACCATTAAAGTTAGATGCATTCAAATATAAATTCTGACTACTTTTATCCTTTTGCCGCCTTTGACTTGCTCTTCGCTTTCTTAACACGCTTCAGACCATCCATGTTGCTTTTCATGAATTGCCCATACATATTAATCATTCTGGGTACATCCTCTTGCCGCACTATAGTAGATATCTAAACAAAAATAAAAACAAATCGTGATATTTAAAAAAAAAACATTTTGTTAAATTAGGATTTACTTTTTTTGATTTCGTTTGTGCACGCATAAGGCACAAATATACTTCAGGTTCCGGCAGTTCTGATCGTCCCTCTCGAGGTTTCGGTCTATTTTGACCATTATCTGCAATATTAAGTTTAGGTTTACATGTAGCTTATGACAATAAAAAATGTTAAAGTGCATACAGCGCTTGAATGTTACGGAAAAAGAAGAGTCCTTCTTCGCAGCATTAGCAAATTTTTCAAGCCGGATTATAAACTGAAAGCAAATGAAATTTTGTTAGAAATATTACCCCCATATCTTGTAAAAAAACCAAATAAAATACTAACCGAGGAATTGTCTAGTAAAACCATACTCGTATTCGTATGCAAAAATGTATTAAATTTTTGACAGCTTTTTGACAAGTATAATTCTTTTTAATTTAAAATGCGTTCGCTTTTTTGATATTATCAATTTAAATTAGCTTCCATACACTTGGTGCAACATGTATCTAAATATAAAAACAATAACAATGTATTAAAATTGAACAAATGTTTTTAAACGAACTGATTTAGGCATTAAAGACAAAAACCAAAAACAAAAAAAATTTAAACAGTAGTAGTGGAGTCTAAAAAGAAATTGTCATTGTCAAATCGCAGCCAACTTCATGTTGGCTTAAAGTGACTTGTGAAAATTGTTTGTCAGTTCAATCAGTTTGCTTATTAATTAACTTTGGAAAAGTTTTAGAATAATAGATATGGTATACTTTTTATATTCTCAGATGTGTCTATATTACTTAAAGAAGAGCAATAATTAATATTTAATTAACAAATTTTTTAGGGTCAAAACCAATCTGCCCAAGGTGGCTCAGGAGATAAGAAGGATGACAAGGATAAGAAAAAGAAATACGAACCCCCAATTCCTACACGAGTAGGAAAGAAGAAGAGACGAGCGAAGGGTCCTGATGCCGCAATGAAATTACCATTAGTAACTCCACATACCCGATGCCGTCTTAAACTTTTGAAGCTAGAGCGAATTAAGGATTACCTAATGATGGAAGATGAATTCATACGCAATCAAGAACGACTGAAGCCACAAGATGAAAAGAACGAAGAAGAACGTTCGAAGGTCGATGATCTTCGTGGTACACCCATGTCAGTTGGAAACCTTGAGGAGATTATCGACGATAATCATGCTATCGTTTCGACGTCAGTGGGCTCAGAACATTACGTTAGTATCTTGTCATTTGTGGACAAAGATCAGTTAGAACCAGGATGCTCAGTGTTGCTAAACCATAAAGTTCATGCAGTAGTCGGTGTTCTTAGTGATGACACTGATCCAATGGTAACAGTTATGAAACTTGAAAAGGCGCCCCAAGAAACTTATGCCGACATTGGCGGTTTAGATACACAAATACAGGAAATCAAGGAGTCTGTCGAATTGCCATTAACTCATCCAGAATATTATGAGGAAATGGGTATTAAGCCACCCAAAGGTGTTATCTTATATGGTCCTCCAGGGACTGGCAAAACATTGCTTGCCAAAGCAGTAGCCAATCAGACCTCTGCGACTTTTTTGCGAGTTGTGGGTTCCGAGTTGATCCAAAAATATCTGGGAGATGGTCCAAAATTAGTACGTGAGCTTTTCCGAGTTGCTGAAGAGCATGCACCTTCTATAGTTTTCATAGACGAAATTGATGCTGTTGGTACAAAACGATATGATTCAAACTCTGGTGGTGAAAGAGAAATTCAGCGTACCATGTTGGAATTGCTCAATCAGCTGGATGGGTTTGATTCAAGGGGCGACGTTAAGGTAAAGGATTATAATTTTTTCCAATATTTTGAAATTAAATTAGAAATATTAATTTAATTTTTGGATTAGGTTATTATGGCAACAAACCGTATTGAGACGTTGGACCCTGCTCTTATACGTCCTGGTCGTATTGATCGTAAAATTGAGTTCCCACTTCCTGATGAAAAAACGAAGCGTCGAATATTTACGATTCACACATCTCGTATGACTTTGGCAGAAGATGTAAATCTGAATGAGCTAATTATGGCTAAGGATGATCTATCCGGAGCGGATATTAAAGCTATATGCACAGAAGCGGGTTTAATGGCACTACGTGAACGACGTATGAAGGTTACTAATGAGGACTTCAAAAAATCTAAGGAGAGTGTTTTATATCGAAAGAAAGAAGGAACAGTCGAAGGATTGTATTTATAAAACCATGTACTTCTTAATAATAAAACAAGATATCAAATCTAAACATTGTGAACATAATAAATTAGTTGTTAAAGGAAAAGTTTGTTTATATTGATTAAAAAATTATTTCAATAAGAATTTTAAAATTGGTACCCAAGATTCATATCTGCCGCAGTGTGCAACGAAGTCATTTAGAGACTGTTTGATTATAATTTTTTAAATTTTTCTTCACTATCAATTTCTAAATTTAGAGAAAGCGCATTATATTTCTCTAATTCGAAACCGGTTCGCAATCCATCTGAGTATCCTTTGTTAAATGCTATTTGAAATATTTCTTCCTTTCCATCTGACACACCATCGGCATACCCAATCTACGGAAAATTTGACATTTAAAAAAGTATATAGGCAGCACTGATTAGCCACATTGTTAGTTCATAAACATTACTTGGTGATTGTAATTGTGGTTCTTACTTTTGCTGATTTTTGGAGGATTCTTTGGAAATTATTCTCGGCAATCTTTCCAAGATCCTCATCATCTATAGCAGACTCACGGGTAATTTCCATTTTATAATTGGTAGAGTAGTTATTACAGAAAATATTTTCGAAATTATGCTATTACTATACATCAGAAGTAAATCTTTCCAATATGACATTTGGTTGTGAACAGCATTGCAGTGTTGCATACCAAAGTATCAATATTAAAAGTATTGGCTATGAGTATAAAATGTATTTACATATATCACCTTAGTTGATTATAAAGGAACACACAGACACACGACACGACATGGCAGCACGACAGTGAACTGTAAATGACAGCGGAATCCTTCTACATGAGCATTTGTAAGAAGGCAGCGTCATAACAATGTCCGGCATGTACACAAGACAATACAGCTGTCCATTTTGCATGTACACAATTTCACTGTGGCCATACGAATGCCTTTCACTTCAATGATATTTTAATATTTTGCGAGATCGACAGCTGACGGAATACCGTCGTGTAGTCGCGCAGCTGTCTAAATAACTGTGTCCATAAGAACGTGTGTATTTTAATACTTGACAGATGTCGCTTGTAGTCTGTCGCGCTCTATGTGTTCAGCACTTAAGGTATTAAGTACTAACTTGAAGCCCTATTCGCAACTAATGAGTTTTTTGAATGAAATAGAGCTCCGATGGTAGTATTTGTCGGTGGAGAATTTTGAATTATTGGTATTTGAGAGCTTGAAAATATAAATATAGATTATTTGTGTTATTTATGTAGATATTACGTTATATAATTACGGATTTAAACATACAATACATGCTCTCTATACAAATTACTGTGTACACTATATACTATATTAGTTTACAAACATACATATTTTGACAATTCACAAGCTGGTCCGCAATTGATCCTCCATAAAATTCTATAATAATTTCTTGTCAACCCACGTTGCTCCAACTTACTTATACATATTATACAACTTACTTATACATATTATTGTCATGAAAAAACACGAAAAACGTCAAAATTTCTCTTTCATCTATCAAAATTTAAATTTTTCTGCCGTTTAGCACACACGGAAGCCATTCGCTCTGGCAACTACGAATTTCGTTGTCTTGTTAATTGTGGCAATTTATCGTTAATTCTGTTTCGTTCTCGCATCCGTATTCGTTACAACATACTGATATATTGGTAATACACAAATAGTTGTTTTTATGCTATTGCAAGATGTTGTTTATATTAGCCTTTTAATGTATTTTTTTTTTTTTTTTTGTTATATTATAGAGTGGAGGTGCATGTTTTGAATGTATATATCATAACTGAACTGTTGAAACTACACTATTATGGCTGCCAATGATATATCCGATGCAATATTGGTTATAATTCAAAGAGTTGCATCTGGAGCTTCAAATGATGATCTGGTTAAGGGATTACCAGAAGTAACAGCGCAAGCTCGAATGGAAAGTTTGAATAAATTGTTGCAACAGGGCACTATTGAATTGCTGAAAAAAGGGGACAAGCTCATATATCGTGCTAAAGATCCGAAAAAGAATGCATTACCCAAAGATGCCGATAATGAGGAACGAATAATTTATAGTATAATTGAAGAAGGCGGAAATAAAGGCATTTGGATACGTGATATACGCATGCAATCAAATCTTAACATGACTCATTTGAATAAAATTTTGAAAAATTTGGAGACCAAAAAACTGATTAAAGCAGTCAAATCCGTAAATGTAAGGCTTAGCTCAAAAGTATTCACCGTTTGTTTTTAATGTATTTCGTTGTAGGCTAGTAAAAAAAAGGTATACATGTTGTACAATTTGGAACCAGACCGCTCAGTAACTGGCGGGGCTTGGTATCAAGATCAAGACTTTGAGGCTGAATTTGTAGACGTTCTTAATCAGCAATGCCTAAGATTTTTACAAATGACCCATGAAAATGCAGAAAAAAAACGCGAAGGTCCCTTGGCTCTTAAACGGCTATCTTGCTGTTCCGTAAAGGAAGTTCATAAATTTATATCAGATTTGGGTATAAGTAAAGTACGAAATTTGAATTACTAAAATTCTACTAAAATAACCTCATATATTATTTTGAATAGGTTCATTTAGATGAAGATGATTTAGAAACTATATTAAAAACTGTCGTTTATGATGGAAATGCAGAGCGTATAATGATGCCCGATGGTTCTTTTGTTTATCGCGCTATTAATTCACCTCTTTTTGCCCCCGGCCTTGTACAAATACCTTGTGGGATATGTCCCGTTATAAGAAATTGCTCAAAATGTGGGGATGTAACACCAAATAAATGTATTTATATGACAGATTGGTTGGATTAATAAAAAATATCGAAAATATTTAATACCTACATACTTATACATGCGTAAGTATATTTAAAACGAAAATAAAAAATTAAAAGAAATAATGCAAATTGTATGTCACTAAGATTTATTCAAGAGTACCACCCTAATATTAGCCGCTGTACGTGGCCGTCCACAGCTGTCGTCATATAAAGCTGTCAATATAGAATAAAAGCAATATAAAAAATACATGACATTAGAAGCATTTTCGCTACTAAATTCTTAAAAAAATAAATGTTTGGAATAAAAAATCAGTGACTACAACTTGAAAATTTCAAGTAGTTGAAGTTGAAAAACATTGTTAAGGTTTTAAAAAAGCTAGTATCAATATAAACGATGGGTCTATGCAAATGTCCAAAACGGCAAGTGACGAATCAATTTTGTTTTGAACATCGAGTTAATGTATGTGAAAATTGCATGGTGCAAAACCATTCCAAGGTAATTCCTTTGAATCTTTCAAACACTGAGCAATTGCTATTGTTTCCAACTTTTGCAGTGCATTGTTCAATCATATCTTCAATGGCTTCGCGACAGCGATTACGTCTCCAATTGTACTCTATGCTCTTCAACACTTGAACAGGGTGAATGTGTACGCTTAGTATGTTACCGTATGTTGTAAATATATAAAAGTTAAATTACAATTGTTGTTTCTTATGCTAGTCTATGTACTTTAATTTGGTTGCAGACGTTTTTCATTGGGATTGCTTGAATTCAAGGCAGTCATCATTGCCTAGTAATACAGCGCCACGTGGTCACCAGTGTCCAATTTGTGATACAGAGATATTTCCGAATTTCAATTTAGTATCACCCGTAGGGGATGCGTTGAAAGCATATTTGTCACAAGTAAATTGGGGACGAAATGGATTGGGTCTTTCTCTTGTAAGAAATATATATTGTATATTTCCACTTACTGTGCTATAATTGTAATCACATTATCATAGTTGCCTAAAGATAAGTCAGTTGAATCGGGTGCGAATTTTAAAAGTCAAGGTACATCTACTACAGTTTCTGCACCTACACAGACTGCAGCCGTTAGTAACATGACCAAAGTCCATCATTCCGTAGGTGTGGAGCGTTTAAAGGATAACGAACAATTTTCCGAGCAAATTATGCGTCATGAGAATCCCCATTCTGTTCTGTTAATGGACGCATTTAGTTTACCAGTTGAAAAGAATGTTCTTGGTAAGTGGCCAATTCAAATTTGTTTATATATGGTATGTATTTAATAAAACCGTGTATAGCTAGTAGCAGACGTCTTTTACTGCCCCGTCAGTCGCCCATTGGAGGCACTGATCGTGATGAAAACAAATATAAACGGCGCACACCTTTAGAAATATTTTCACGTTGGTCACGTCGTTTCTATGCGCCCTCTTCTCGTCCACCCTGGCGTCGTACTTGGTTTCTGGTAATAAGTGGTGTATTAGCTTTTGTAGTACTCATATATTTGATGGCACTTTTTGGACGTGGCAGTGATAATGAATCTATCCATGATAGTTGGAATGACCCAAATCCTAAACCAGATCGTCATTATGAATAAAATTAAAATGTTAATGTAATCTGATAATTAGTTACGATATATATTATTTGTGCAATTGTATAATTATATATTACTATGTATTGGATTTCGATATCATTTATAACTTTTTATTTACTAAACTTTGTTAAAGTTAAAATAAATTGTAATAATGTTTTATAATCAAAGTTATTTGAGAAAATGCAAAAAAAGAGATGTATATGTATCCATTAAATAAAATGAAAAATAAATACATACATACATCATCATTTTTTGTTCTCTAAAGAAGGTTTCTGAAAATTTTGATAAGTCGGCAAAGCGCAGAATCTTACAGTTAACAGATCCACTATCGGTGTAGGACAAACCCGAAAAAGAAACCGGTAAATCTTGTAACTGAAATTGTAAATGGAAAATAAATAATTTGCAAATGTTTGCAAGTTTATAACAGCAAATGAAATATGCAAATAACAATTATTTCTAAATATAAAACTTTTCATCTTGAAACCTTTTAATGTACATACAAATATATGAAATGTACCTATGTAATACACATGTATGTACATATAGATTACTATTTCAAATATTGATATTTATGTAGTACTAACCGCCAGGGCTCATGTATGTACATCGCTTGTGGAATGCTATCTGTTAAAGCACGTTTAAATTTTTCCAACAAAATGGTGTCGTGAAATTGATTTGGAGATTTAAAACCCGAAACTACTTTCAAATAGTTGTTAAATTGCCTAAAATAGGCACTATAAAGTTGGCGTTGGTCATCATTAAACGCATCAAACATCACCTTTGCATGTTCTTGTTGTCTTGCCGAAATATTGCTAAATTGTACAAAAGATCCAGGAACGAAGTTGATCACATCTACGCCATATTGTTGCATTTCTATACGCAGTGAATCGCACCAGAAACGCAAAGCTGCTTTAGAAGCAGCATATGAGCTTAACGCCGGAAGTGCCTAAAAAGCCAATACAATCATTAAATAATACGGCATTATTATCAATAAAAGATCAATTTTAAAAATATTTTCATTCATGTGTTTCTATTTTTTCTTACCTGCAGACCGCAATGACTGGTGATATTGATTATACGTGCGCGATGCTGCCGTATTAATGGTAATAGTTTTTTGGTGAGACGCATTGCACCCAACACATTTACATTGATTTGCATTTCAAATTGCTCTGAAGTTTGCCATTCAAATTCACCGAAACACATGACGCCAGCATTGTTTACTAATGCTGTGAATTGGTATTCCATATTAGTGTGTAAAAAGTCTTTAATATATTGAAAGGCACATGTAATGGTGTCCTCCTTGAGCAGATCTACTTCAACGGTGAACATGCGTTGGGAATCGTTATCATTTCTTAATAAGCGAGCACCTTCAGAATTTACATTATGACAAGCCGATATAACAGTCATATTCAAAGAATAGCAATAAAGTGCTAATGAATGCCTGTTTTTGTAAATATAAATTTTTAGATACATATGTATACATTTTATGAAGCAAAGGATGATTAAAGCAATTGTTCTAAGTATAATGTCGATATGCACGTTGTAGAAGGGTAAGTATGAAATAGTGTTAAATGAAATTTTTCATCTATGTATTTACATACATATGTACATATATTATGGGTATATAACTACTTACCCTAATCCAGAATCACAGCCTGTGATGAGAATCACATTTTTAGGTGTCATCATTAGCGTTTTACCACTATAACCAATTGTCTTTAAAAGAGTATACCAGAGCTGATTTTTTATCATTCCGAATATTATTTTATATAATTTATGAAAATATGTATTTGTATTTATAAACTTAATTGTGTTTGCGATTTTCAGTATATGGTCACAACGATGTGATGTTCCGCTATATTCATACAGCACTGATTTACAAAAGAATATAAAACTTCATTCCAATGCTTCATGTTTGGAGTTAATGTATGTGCATATGTACATATGTATGTACGCATGTGAAGATAAAAGTGCCAATATGCATGAAATACAATACATTTTATTTGCATATATGTATGTATATCGTGCAAAAAGTGAATCTAGTTAAAACCTACCATAAGGCCACTAATATTTGTAGGTAAAATTTATAGACCATGTGGTGCTCCAGTAACAAATACCATTGGAGTAGTACCTAAACCAGTTTTTTCTATGTACCATTAGGCAAGGTAGTCGAACTAGTCGATTAACTATAAATTCCCACGACAGCCGGTTCTACGTACCGGAATTGACTCGGATTTCATCCGACCATGGGCTGTCCTTTYGGCGATCTAACYCCGTTTGGATCGGTGAATGTTAATCTGTGTGTGTCGTCACTGGAGCAACGCCTTGCAGCAGGGTTGCTCCTTATCCTCCTGACTCGTGCTGGCATTGAGTCCAACCCGGG